CACAAACTATCAACTGTGTACAAAGAAATATTTCAATTAATTGTAATCCCAACTGGGGTCTCCAAATAAGCTTGCTTTTCACAAAGTTTGATTACAATATCTCATTCCTAACTCTAGTTATTGTCCGGAAACCATTTTTCTATTTTTAGGAATGGTGACCTTGACCTTGACCCCAGGGGGTCCAAATGCAATACCAACGTAGGTCTTCATATAAGCTTGCTATACACCAAGTTTGATAACAATATCTCATTCCTAACTCTAGTTATTGTCCGGAAACCATTTTTCTATTTTTAGGAATGGTGACCTTGACCTTGACCCCAGGGGGTCCAAAAACAATATCAACCCAGGTCTTCATATAAGCTTGCTATACACCAAGTTTGATTACAATATCTCATTCCTAACTCAAGTTATTGTCCGGAAACCATTTTTCTATTTTTTAGTAACGGTGACCTTGACCTTGACCCAAGGGAGTCCAAATGCAATACCAACCCAGGTCTTCATATAAGCTTGCTATACACCAAGTTTGATAACAATATCTCATTCCTAACTCTAGTTATTGTCCGGAAACCATTTTTCTATTTTTAGTAACGGTGACCTTGACCTTGACCCCAGGGGGTCCAAATGCAATACCAACCGGAGTTTCCACATAAGGTTGCTATATACCAAGTTTGATTACAATACCTCATTCCAAACTCTAGTTATTGTCCGGAAACCATGATGTGGACCGACCGACGGACGGACCGACCGACCAACCGACCGACCGACCGACCGACAAGCTGACTCCTATATACCCCCCCTAAACTTCGTTTGTGGGGGTATAATGACCATAACAAAAGTACTCAATGTCCTAAAGGAAGACAGAGCAACAAGAAAATCACCTACAAGGGCCCGACGAAGCAAGGCAGAAGACGAACATTAAGACAATTCAGTCCCAAAGGGCTTTACGAACTATCCATCATAGAGTCTCCCACTTGGTCCGTCAGATGCAATCAAAAGAGGAAAGCGTAGTGTCCAACTGTAAAAGGGTTGAACACTAAACATGCAGTATGTCTTAAAATAGTAGGGTCATAACCTCTTTTAATAAAACGTTTAATAATTTTAGTAAAAACGGCAGAAAAATTACCATGACCCAAAATCTTACCATGATCCAAAAAGTTTGTAAACCACATCGCCATAAAAAACCAGGCTGGCTAATCCCTTGTCGCAGAAGAGTTTTTAAATCACTATTGAATTTAGAAATTAAATCAAAGTTACGATTGTAAAATTTAGTAAATATTTCCGTAATTTATGATAGCGGTAGCCCTGTTTTAGAAGCTTGCTGGTAATAAAAATATTCCGCTCGTTGAAATCCTTTACGTTGTTACAAGCTCTAGCGAATCTAATTAATTGAGAAACATAAACCCCGTAGGATGTTGCATGGGGTACGTCTCCATCCAAATGTGGATAATTAACTATACAAAAGTCAAAGTCATCTCTTTTATCATAAATTTTCGTGTGAATAGAATTGTTGTTGATAGTAATATGAAGATCCAAAAATGATGTACTAAAATTTCAAGAGTTCGTTTTATTAAGTTGTAGTTCATGCGGATAAATGTCAGACACCATTTGATCAAAATAAGGATTATCTAAATTAAAAATATCATCAAGGTATCTGGAAGTATTATTAAATGCGACTATAACATCTTGTTGTTTCTCTTCAGAGAGACTCAACATAAAGTCTCTTTCATAGCAGTACAAAAACAAATCGGCGACCAGGGGTGCACAATTAGTACCCATAGGAATCCCTATGATCTGTTTAAATAGGGTATTACCAAACCTGACATAAATGTTGTCTAAAAGAAAAGAGAGTGCTCTACAAACTTCGTCACAGGTCCACATAGTATAATGTTTAACAATACCGTTAGTAAAAAAAGCTTTGTTAGAATTACATGCTAGAAAGGTAACTTTTTCCCGTGCAAAAGTTTTCTGAATTAGGGAAATTAGTTTATCATTGATTAATTTATGTGGCAAAGTTGTATAAAGTGTAGAAAAATCGTATGTACTGACAGTTGAAGCTTGAAAGTTATTAATTTTGAATTTATCCAAGATTTCACCAGAATTTTTAATTGACCAAAAGAGATGTTTGCCTGTGTTTTCATAGACTTTATCCCAATATCTAATTACATGTGTTTAAATGGCAGTCAAACAAGACGTCAATAAAATAGAAAGTTTACTTGTAGTGCAAGATGTAGAATTAGCAATAAATCTGGCTTTGTAAGGTTTTTTATGTAATTTAGGAATCCAATACATAATAGGAAGTTTGAGTTCTTTTTCATTAATTTGGACTTTAAGATTAGAAATATTAGTAAAATTATTGTTTACAATGTCAGATTGTTTACCATTGTCAGATCGACAACATACCATGCGCGCTCATTTTCAAAATTCACTTTATCAATCGGTATCGGTTTCATATCGATTTCATAGATTGAATGCTCTCTTAAAAAAGTTGTGAATCCTCAAAAAGGTTGAAGTTTAATATTTATTTTAAATTTGTTTACTCATTTATGCAAAAACCTTAAAAATAAATTTTTGTACACTGCATTTTTAAATAACTTACTTGTTATAGCAAAATTTATATCTTATTTTAGGTATGTCCACCAGATGCGGCAGAAATGTAATCACGATTAGAAACATCTAAACGACAATGTGAGAATGTTAATTCAATCATATTATATACACCATTAACTATGAAACTGAGAAGTTATGATCAATGAGAAGTTGATCTTTAATTATATTTTGTTCTCGTCAGATTAAAAAAAATGTTCGAATATGTTCATTCTAAATGACCAAATAGCTTTCGGTCATAATATATATATTAACTGTGTTTGTACAATATAACTATTAAGTAATGCCATTACTTTAAAACAACATAAGAAAATTAAACAAAATTAAAATTTCGTGGGACATAAACACATACTGAAGATACATCTTAATTTACAACTTTATTAGGTTTAGTGACAAACAATATTATTAACTTGTACAATTCAATTCATCATTTAATGCGTTTGTTAATGAATCAGGAACGGAAATGTAATTAATCATGATGAAATGTTATGGTGTTATCTGTTTTATTATATTTTTATTTCTTAAACCATATAACATGATAATTACCTTCATGGTATTTGAGAGTGTCTGACAGTGTGAAGGTCACTTTTTAACCTGAATGATATATCTGAATTTCTTTCTCTTTTTTTCTCTTTCTTTATTCATGTTGTATTTTAAATCATGGGAAGTTTTGAATGAATCCACTATGACATTCAAACTTGCGTTTAGAAGACTGACGCTTCAATGTGTTTTATGATGATACTAAGAAAAAGCCGCTTGACTACATAAATTGTAAAAATTAATTTCCGATCTATACCTTTTCGATGTACATCTTAAATAATTTTTATTTACCGAGGCGACACACAAGACCTGATTTTCTTTGTTCGCCCATGCTAACAGCTTTATCACAGACTTCTTCGTGGAAAGTATAGGCAGTATCTAGATTTTTTTTAGTGTTTACGCAGTATCACAATTTATGTTTTCTGTAGAAAGTGCGTTGTAAGATATGTTTCTCACAAATGTATTCAAATGTATAACAAAGGTTGAAAATACATTTTTGAAATAAATTCTACAATGAATTAACTTATCTTCAAGACGTCTGAGACTTTCAATTTTCAAGACGTTACTTGAAAGTTCGCAATGTCGCGTTCTTCCTTATCGTTAATTAACCGCCAAACAATGTATTTACTGAAGAAAATACTTTTTTTGACACTGCACATTTTTGTTGCAAGGGTACTATGATTAGAGTCAAATACATTTTTACTCATATTTTGATTTTCAATAAAAAATAAATATTCCTTCAACCAAGTGATTTGTATCATACAGCGGGAAAGTTGCATTGCTTGTTTGATGAAAAATGTAAAATCTTATAAATGAGTTATCAAAATATTTTAATTCCGAAAACACTTCAGTTAATTTATCAAATACTAGTATATATTTCATTGAACGCCCTTGTCTTTCAAATGTTTAGGTGGATATTGACACCAGGTATTTATAGTACAATTTAAACAAGAAAATAACTGAAGATATTTTCGAAAACCAAGCAGTACATCTTAAAAAGTGTTTAGAAAATAGAAGAACATATTGTAACTGTTATAGTTAATTCAATTCGTATTTCAGCTAAACAGCACATGACAAAAATATGTTTATAAAATTGTGTTATTACTTTTTTCGTAATATTAATGATATTCAATACAACAAAACAAATGTAAACATTTTAATAGTAAACTTGTGTTGCAAACATTTTTAATGATGACAATTAATTTTATTTGGAAAAATTTAAAAATGTTTTAAAGTACAATAAATAGTTTTAAAAATTTAAACGGGACCTAAAACCCGGGACCAATCAAAACGTTTTGAAAAAATTTTTTGTATAAGGGTTTTTTACCCGGGAAACGAACCTTTTCAAAGTTTGTTATTGAAAACAAAAAAACGTCAGTTTTTTACCAAAATAAAAAAAAGAATATAGAAAACCCTCCCGGGAAAAAGGGTTAAACCTTAAAAATAAATCGTTAAAAATTTTTTTAAAATTTATATTGAATCTGGTTTAAAGAAATTTTTTTAAAAAAAAGTGAGGTTTTTAACCCCTTTTTTTCCAAAAATGAATAAGTTGCTTTTTGGTTTTATTTTTTGGTTTGGGTGCATCACCAAGGGGGATCTTCCTTTAAAGGGTTGGCCCGAAGGTAACAACATATTATGTATTTACATTGTACTATACGACAGACGTTTTTAACAAATAAAACGTTTTAAAAAGGTTATGTTATTTTTTCAAGTATTGACAAAATTTATAAAGTTTCAGCAAGCATTTAATAAGGTTGATCCAGATAATCGTAGACTATTTGCATATTTCATTATCTTTGCTAAGTTGTCAAAAATACTTGGTCTTTAAAGGCCCATTATACCTCAGAAGTGCAGTCAATTTTACTTTTCAAAAACATTGTATTTTTGGTATCTTGTTAGTTTCTGTGAAATACACATTTGTCATATTGATGAACCACTTTTTACTTCTTTTTCTCTGTTGTTAATTAGTAAATTTATAGTAAATTATTTTTTTGTATTGAAGCCAATTTTGTTCAAATTTTGCTATCTTAACGACACATTTCTGGATAATTTGCGCTATTTTCATTAGTATGTAAACAGCTAACATACTCTAAATATATTAATAAAACATCTTAAACGCATTTTTGTACATTTCTAAAGAATTAAAAATGTGGATTTCTTAGTCTCATTGTGCTTTTCACAAACCGTTACATTGTCTATGGTTTTGTGCAATATCTTCGACAAAAACATTATTAAGTACACGTTACAACATTGCTTTCGTATAATGATGTGTATAATATACTTTCTGATTTATAATTTTGTTTATCAATTTGAAAGAACATCACATATTGTAAAAGTAACAAAATGTTATATTGCTGCCATGTACAGTTATAAATGTTTCATGACTGATGTCAATAAATTGTTACGTCTAATTTTTCCACCTTGATAATGTAAGAATTATGTTACCTTGCGGTAATTATGCTTAATGGTATAAAACGTTTATAGAAAATGTAGAAGAAAAATAATGGTATTTGAGTTACAGTTTGATAAGTTACAACATTATTTTGTAAATATTTCAGCCCAGTACCGACCACCTGGTGGTGGTGGTGGTAGACATTGTAGCTGCAGACGTTACTGTTGGCGAGGAGAATTTCCGAGAGGACGATGTGGATACAGACAACAGCTTTGTTGTAGACGACGATGGGGAGGAGGAGGAGGATGGGATTAAAGTGATGAATTGTAATTATTTTATATATTCGTATACCAATGATTATTTGCACACTTGATTTAGGTTAAAACAATACTGTAGATAAAAATGCATTTTCAGTGTGTAACAACCATAGATATTAACAGCAAATAAAACAAAATCATACAGGCCTGAGAAGAAAATTGACTATTTCGAATTTTACAAAATGTTTGTATTTTATTTCGCATGTAACTGTTCACACATTTACTCATTTATGTATAAGAAATATATTTACTAACGTCTTCAATGCATTGTCTATATATGTGCGATGATACTGCGAACACAGCTATTTAGCTCTATAAGCAATTTAGTTCTATAAGCGCCTATAAAAAATAGGCACACAATATGTTATCGGTCTTTGCTTAGTAGTTTTATGACACCTCAGTGTATGCTGATGGATTAAACGTTAAACCTTACCTTTGGCGTATCATATGATACTGTATCTGTCCTCATTTTACTACATAGTTTAAGTTTATCAAATTTCTTTCAGAATAAACATATTCATAATATCTAGGTATACCATGTTATCGTAAATGTAAGTTGAAAATGAGTAGATAATAATTAAGAACAGAAAATATATGTGTGTTTGTATAACTACGACCGTTTGACATGTAATTTTGACTTTATTTTCAGTTCCATAGGCTTTATCAAAATTCACAAGGTATTTTGTCTCCATGAAGAGAAAGCAATATAACAGTTAAACACGAATTAATTTGTGATTCATTGAATAAAACTGAATAAATTTTGAAGAAAAAAAACATTTCTATCTTATCTCTTTGTTTTTGTAGGTATAACCTACTAAAATTTTAATTGAAAAATGCGTTTCGTTCCGTACGTTACCATGGGGTCCCAACCTGCCAAAACTTTTTTTCATTCTTGTGGGAAAAGTAAACTTTGTCCTAAACCGGGACTTGAAAGATTTCTGGAAAAGGGTTAAAAGCCTTTTTAAAAATTTTTTCATTCCCATTTCTTTTGAATTAAATAGACATAAAAAAATAAACTAAATTTAATGAAAAATTTTAAAAACGATTTAAAAAAATGTTAAAATGTTTTTCCGGGGGCCAAATAAAAATGCATTTGCAAATTAATCCGGGGAAAAATCGTTGTTTTTTTTAGGAAAACCCCTGTCCCAAAAAAAAAAGGAAAACCTTTTATATTCCCATTAATGTAGGTTTCGGGTCGAAAAGAAAAATTTAAAAAAAAAGAGCTTTTAAACCTTTTATAAAAGTTTTAAAAACCCAAATTTTAAGTAATATTTTCAGTATATACAGTATAAAACATTCAGGGGTTTTTTTCAAAAATTTAAAAATGTACCAAAGTTAAAAAAAGAGGTTTTTTTCCCAAACTTATTGGGTAAAACATACTGCTTAAGAGAACAGTCCTTATAATGATAATTGCTCGCTGTGTTTTTCGGCCGTTAATACAAGCTCAGCGGCCATAAACTTTTCGCGGAATATATATCCAGCCAAACGATAAAATTACGGGTACTGTATTTTACACCACATTATTGTACTTGACGTTTGTTTGTTTAATTGGGTTTTACGTCACACCGACACATTATAGGTCATATGGCGACCTTTCAGCTTTACTGGTTGAGGAAGACCTCGAACGGGCACCTGAGTCGAACCACTGACGTTCCGTCAGCTAGCTGGATTGCTTCCTCACATGAACAAATCCAAAGTCCCTGTTGGGATTCGAGCGTTGAGGGGCAAGTGGTTTGAAGTCAACGACTTTAACCACTCGGCCACGGATGCCCCACTTGTACTTGTAAACATTTTAAGGTTATCTAGAATGCCGATCATCTCAGCTTGTATAGATAACTAGCAGCATTGTTTTGGGTTTTTAGTAAACAACGATACAGATGTAAGTGCACGAAAGACCACAGTACCACATAAACCACATTTTATCTCTTAAATTAAGATTGATGATAAATTATTATGCGGACAAAAATAACAACAGGTATGTGAAAGACTATAAATTATTCTCACGAAAGCCTGTAACTTCTTTTCAACAGCGGTTTAAGCTACTATAATTGATAGACTTGAGATTGAACAACAGGTTATGATATTTTGCTTTACATTCGTTCCATTATCTTTTAAGTATACCTGTCTGAGTGAAGAGAAAATTGAAATAGTATTATTTGACAAAAAAAAACAAAAAAAACAATTGCATAAATATAAAAGGTGTTTTGTGATTTAAAGGCCAATAGGGAAGATATTTTGAGCTGCCAATCACACTGTTTAATAATGCGTTTGACATTGCTACAAGAACAATTGAAACAAAATCACTTTAAACATTTTTGAATATCAGAAATAGAATATCTCCAAATATCATTATTACACTTATTGTACAAAGAGACAATATATCATGTCTATGTTTTGAGAGGTATATGGGTAACATATACGGGTATCATACAAATTTATGAAAGAAAAAAAACAGTTAATTAAGGAATAATTTTTTACTGCTCCATAGATCTTTCTTACTGCATATCAAATACATAAGCAAACACTTCAGGCAATTTCACATAAACTACAGAAAATGACATCGTGTGTGTTTTCATTATGCTATAGCTGATATATTAGATTTGCCTTGTCGATGTGACATGTACATCATGTTATTGCTTTATTTGTCAAGATAAAATATGAAAAACAAGCTCAAGAAGGAAGGGCGACACTTAATGAATGCGGCCCCACATGACCAAGCAAAACAAGACCACCAGCAAGGAAACCAGCAGATCTAATATTTCTTGATGTAAAATATCTCTATGTTAAAATGAACATTTACCTCCACAGCAATGTGATATTTAACTTCATATTATGTTTTAACATATGACTATATTGTCTTTATATTAAATACTGCTTTCTTGTAAGCATATCGATCTGTTAGAATATATCTATACACCACTATTTGATAATCTGAAATGATGATCGTATTATTGGGCTGGAAACCTTATATAAAAAAAAAACACAGTCATTGCATCAACGGTCAAATTATTGTGGTGTTCATTTAAGAAGGGTAAATGTCTTACAGGGTCTCCGTGGTTCTTTATGTACGAAATATTAATTCATTTTTACGAAATAATTATTCGTAATTACGAAATATTAATTCGATTTTACAAAATAATAATTCGTTTTTACGAAATATTAATTCGTTGTTACCAAATAATAATTCGTTTTAACTAAAGAATTATTCGTATAACGAAATAGTATTTCTTAAAAACGAATCAATATTTCGTAATAACGAATTAATATTTCGTAATTACGAATTAATATTTCGTAATTACGAATTAATATTTGGTAAAAACGAATTAATATTTCGTAAAAACGAATTAATATTTCGTAAAAACGAATTAATATTGCGTAATTACGAAATAATATTTAACAAAAAACGAATTTATATTTCGTAATTACGAATTAACATTTCGTAATTATGAATTAATATTTCGTAATTACGAATTAATATGTCGTAAAAACGAATTTTTATTTCGTAAAAACGAACTAAGTCTCGGAGAAAAAATGTGGAAAATGTCACCTAAGGGGCTCCTCCGTATTTATGCGATTTAATAGTATCACAATTTTGGTCGTGGCCTATGTATACTTAGCTTATCAAAGCATAATGTCAAAGACATCGCACTGGCACACGGAAAGCATGGCAAAATGGTTTCTTTATACGAGAAACATATATCAAAACGCTGAATAACCGAACAAAGGCGTATTCTTTTATTTAAAATAGCACTTTTGCACACTTTTATGCAGCTCCCTCGAACTTAGATCCCTTGCCCTGCGAGCGTTAACGCTTATATTACATATGTTTCTGCAGCAGTTATGCACGGAGAAAGGTTCCTTAAACCTCTTTTTTCTCAAAACATAAAACATGTCGTAATATATCATATAACTGTAATGGAAACGTTATTACGACATTCCTTGTGATTTTGTCATTATACACAGAGAAGAAGAAAAAATGGTGTTTAACTGCCAATAAACAATGGTTAAGGACTACATGTATAAACGACTATATTTTTTTCTCCCTCGATAAGATAGTTTATAAAGCCTTTTTAAGCCAACAATAATAATTCAGTTTTTAAATTATTAATATTTTGCGTTCTTCTTATGTTTTTTTTTCTTTTGATGCTTAAATAACATATTACATAAATTTACGCCACAAATGTTATACATATATCTGATAAAATTTGCATAAGAAAATTCGGTGCCATTTCGTAAGCAGCGTCATGTATGCAACTCTATGCATATTTATAAACCCATTATAATCCAAACTAACACGTAAGTTTAAATTGTTGAGAACTTGATAAATAATTCTTGAATAATAAATTGAAACGTTTTCTCTTATCATTTCTTTTGTTAAAAAATGTTTTTACCTAAGCGACAGGAGGGTGCATAATAGATCAATTTTATACTTCTGCATCAGAAGTAATCTCCGCTTGAAAAAATAGCGTAAGTGATCTCCCTTACTTTGCTGTTGCAGTCGAAATAATATAGGTTTCCGCAGTGTTAATCGAATATTTAACATTGGGTTTGTAGTTTGGATGCAAAACATAATTAACAAGTCAGGCCTACGACCTTTATTCTCTGCATCAAAACTCAAAGCTGGTGTTCAGCAGGCGAAAACACCGCTTAGAGCGATATTATTTCTGACATGAACCCCACTACACTATAGATAGGCCGTCGCTTTTGTCAAGATGAAACCGGGACTTACATGCGCAAGGAACTTGCAAGGAACAATATATAAAACCATTTTGCCTATATATGAAACAGAAGTAGCAATATATATGTTGATCTTAACATTACGTCGTAGGAATTTTTATTATATGGAACCAAAGTAGCCATTTATGGAAGCAGATGTCCTTATATGCAACAGATATATCACTATATTGAAATAAAGACATCTGGTTTCATACGTGGCTACTTTGGTTCTATATATAGAAAAATTGGTATTATATAATGTGATAATCAACTTATATATTGCTTGAGTTACGCCATATAAGAGTTACTAAGCTAAAGGGCTAGGTTCACTAACCATGGGTTTTTGCAAAAAATAATTCTATGCAAATCTAAAATCTTCATCATCGTCAACATTGATGTTTATGTACAATAAATCGTTAAATGATGTGATGACATCTATGAAATTTGAAGTCACTCAACGATAGCCCCGGAGTTTCCCATCCAGGAGATATGAGTTAAAAACTTTATCAAGAACTGTCTTGATAATTTTCGTCCTTTTTCATGCTTATCAAAATATTTCAGTAAACAATATGTTATCTCATAAAATGTAACATATATTTTTTCTTCAGACTTTAAACATTTTAAGTCATTGCTATCTGGTAGGTATTAAGATATTAAAGATTTGTTAAATTAAATTGCTTAATTGTTTAGCAAGAAGCAATAGATCTCATTATTTCAATATCATTATTATTTAAAATATTCACAAGAAGTTGCAAAACCAGCAAAAGTGTTGGGAGTCAAGAGACAACTTTTCTTTTCTTTTAACCCATTACTTCATGAGCATTTTGTGAAAAATGGCTTTTTTCATTGAAAAGTCTCCCGTTACAAGTTCAAATTGCTATAATACTATAAAAACTGCTTCAATATTAATCAAACTTGGCACACATGTTGACTGGACCATTGCCTTTGCAACAACATGCTCAGGCTTTAAATTTTCTGTTACCAGGGCAACAAGGGGAAATCTCAGAATTGCCAAAATCAATTTTTTGCGTTGATTTTTTCCACCAAAATTGATTTCAAA